GTTAGAATTTCATTCCGGTCGTACGTTATCACATAAAGGCACAAAAAAGATAGAATCTGTAGTACAGTCCATATCAGCAACTACGCATAGTTATACTATACAGCCGACAATTTCAGCGGATGGTAGATTATTGTCTCCGCTTTTCATTGTTTTAAAGGAAGTAACAGGAACATTTGGTCCTAGAGTACAGGAAACTATGTTCAAAGCGCCTAATATTTTTGTTACGGCTTCTACATCAGGAAAATTAACGTCAAATCATGTAAAAACCTGGTTGAAAGAAGTATTTTTTCCGAATGTTGGGCCACAATCTGTATTATTATTAGATTCTTGGAGTGGGCATTGTCCCAACATAATAGCGGAAACTAGAACAGATTATGCAACAGATATTGTTTTTCTAACAATTCCAGCCGGTACAACAGGACAAATACAGCCATTAGATGTATACGGCTTCCGATTATGGAAAAATTTTATTAGACATTTTTCTGATACTGTTTTATTGTTAAATCTTGCAATTGAACTTCATACTAGAAATAATATTTTGAAATTACAATCATTAACGCACCATCAATTCTCGTCGCCTAGGTTTCAAAGTTTATTTCGATATGCATGGTTTAAAAGTGGATATGTAGAGATTAGACCAACAGAGTTTCAAACACCGGTTGAATTTTGTTTCCAAAGGGATTCGAAAGTAAATTGCGATATTTGTGGCGAAACTGCCATAATTACTTGTTCTTGGTGTAAAAAATCGCTTTGTATTACACATTTTTTCCATGATCATCATCTTTGTAACGAATATGTGCAATAAATATAATACATTATCCGTTCATATGCAAATTCTGTACTGTTGCTTTAAAATATATTGTTAAATAAATATTATTGTCAAATATTGTTCTACTACAATTTATTATTCCTTTCTACTTTGTTTCCTTATATTACTATTCCATAATTTATCCGGAGTTCTCTGTTATCTTTAGCAATTAGTAATTATATATTGTATATTCACATTACACGCTTTCTCTCTCTTGCAAAAGTAATAGAATATGTGTTTCTTTTATTTCATGCATTACAATTTTATTTTAACCTGCCTTGATCTTGTATCAATTTACTTTGCAGTAAACATATTTAATATACATTGAAAACTTCTGTACAAATTGCGACGCCGCGCACATTTGCTACTGTTGTTATATATGCTTACTGTTGTTTATCTCTGCTTACGTCTTTATTTCGTATATTACATATCATATGATTAGAATTAATTCGTTTTTATCTTGTAATATGAGAAAATATGCGCAAGTAGTTATAAAACATAGCGCAAGTGAAGAGAAGTAATCCAACGCAACGTACAGTACTTACCTACTCGCACAACGCGGTGCCTATAACGCGAAGTTATCAGTCATGTAGTTTTGCCAAGAATTGAATCGAGGAACCATACTATTATTATATATCGATGGATTTGGCATGAAATGCTTTTTAATTTTTGTCCTTACAAAAACTTAAAAATTTGCAAAGGTGACGAAGGGGAGAGGGAGGGGGGGGGTGAAATATTGCATTTTAAAAAATTTGAATAGACCGATGGAAAGGGCATAAGATACTGTAAAACTTTTGTCTGAAATATTTTTTCATATACCTCATATTTTAGGAAATATTAAATAAAAATGAAAAAGTCCGTTTTTTTCAAGGGGTGGTTTCAACCCCTAAACCTCGAGATAAGCACATAAAAAAAAATACGTGTCTAATGTTTTTTGATGCTCTACAACATATCCAATGCTCATCAAATTCGGTGAGGGACGCCCCCAACCGTTTCCTTGTGAGTAAATTTTCAAGTGCGAAAATAATAAAAAATCAAATAAAACAGCTAAATTATATTTAAAATCAATATAAGCTGACTAGTTGCAATCGTTTTTGCAAAATATATATTTTTTTTAATCGGTGCCATACGTCATTGTTACAAATACATCACTGTGATATTTTTCTTCATATAATAATGATCATTTTTCTTCATATCATAATGATATCACATATGTGACAAAGCGGACATCACCGTGATTTCTTTGTGACTTCATTGCGACATAGTTTATTGTCGCAGAGTAACGTTATTGTGATGTCACTGTTACATTTTGTGCTATGTGGGTATTGTGTTAGAGATGTCTTAAAAATGTCTTAAAGACATCTCGATTCTGGGCATTTGTGTTGTCTGAGTAGTCTGCAGAACATATTTGACAGACCTATTCTGTTGAATACAATATAATTATTTAAAACTTATTGTATTAAAATATTTACAAGTAATTAAAGGAAAATATACACATACATAGTACAATAAAAACGATGAAATAAAATTAATCATCTCCAGATAAAAGGAGAGAGAGGGGGAAAGAGAGAGAGAGAGAGAGAAAGAGAGGGAAAGGAAGAATTACGAGTCTTCCCAGCAAGAAATCATTAATACAACGTTGCTACAATGATATTGAAGAACCTGTAATATTCAAATATGTAGTGTTTAATATTGTATTAAACATCATTATGAATATACTTTGATCGCGATTTGGAAGTTTCAGTAATGTTGAAATAGGTTTGCTATAACGTTTTAATCGGCAGAAATATTTTTAAGATGTTGCATTGGTCTCAAATAAATGTTAAAGTAACATTTAAAAAATATGTTTTTTGTAATGTTTTAAAGCGTTTAAACAATATTCAGAAAAATCATATCACAAAATAACATGTGAAAAATATAAATGTAATATTATTAAAAAATGTCCTAACAATGCACATGAAGTCAACGTTTCTAAACGTTAATTTAATGTTTCTTGCTTATTGGGTTAATATCTTTGAAAATAGAAATGTTGGAGAAAACTTTTCCTAGAAAATTTTATACTGTAGAAAGTAGGTCATTATTTTATGATAATAAGTATCTTATAAGAAAAGTGGACTAAAGAGTATTTGAACATTAATTTTGTTATTTTAGTTATTTTAGATCAGGGTTGGGTAAGTTACTTTTGGTTTTTAACTGAGTTAAATTAAAAGTTAGTTCGCTATAAAATAAATGAGTTTGCGTTAAAAGTTACTCAAATGAAATACTAACTCAGTTAAAAGTTAAAAAGTTAAAAGTTATAAAAAAGTTAGAAGTTATTTACGGAAAATTTAATTATCTAAAACTATATATGTATCTTTTGATTTTATAATTATTCTTTAAATTTAGCTTAAATATATGTGAAATAATGAAAGTATATTAAACAAATTGACCAATCACAGTTAATTATTTTTTGACCGTAAAGAGAATAGTTGATTGTGATTGGTCAATTTCCTTACTGCTTACGTCTTACTGCTTAAGTTTCTTTATGTGTATCACTAGCTTTACATCCCGATTTACAATAAGTGTAGTAAGCTTTAAGCCGTAAGAAATTGACTAATCACAGTCGACTTATAGAAGAATAATCAATTGTGATTGCTCTATTTGCTTACTACTTATTTCTTACTACTACTCCTGCTGCCATTATAGAGAATGTATTATGCGTCGTCTACAATGACAGTAGGAGTAGTACTAAGAAATGAGCAGTAAGCAAATTGACCAATTCCATTTTCACGATTCAAGAAAAATCGATTGTGATTGGTCCATTTACTTACTGCTTATTTATTACTACTACTCCTACTGCCATTGTAGACGACGCATTACAATGCTGGAAGCTTTATTCTACTTTTCTTTAGCATGTAATGAACAATAAAGATAGAATGACGCTTATAGGGCTATAAGTGTGATGTAAGCGTGAATCGGACATCCATAGTCAAATCTTTTATTAAAAGTAATTTCAAGTTCATTTTTAGATGCTTCGTAGCCAATAAAACGATTCGTTCAGTATCTAAAAATAAATTTGAAACGATCATAAATATAAAATTTGGTTATGAGTACTGCTCTTATATACCTGTCTGTTAAAGTGGCTGATGATTTTTACGCAACTTTAATATTGATGAAATAAATTAACTTAATTGAAAAAAGTTTAAGTTAATGCATAAAAATTAACTAAGTTTAAGTTAAAAGTTAACTTATTTAAGCTTAACTAAGTTGCGTTAAAAGTTACTAACTATTTAGCTTCTAACTTAACTTTTAACTTTTTTAAAAGTTATTACCCAACCTTGACTGTGATTGTGTTTTTTTGTTACGTAAATCGATTTCACTTCTCACTTTTGCATCTAAAAGCATTGAAGTAAAATAATTCGAGAATGAATATTTATTAAAACAAAAATATTTTTTTATTTTATTTATCATTTTGATATTATTATTATCAATTTTTCCTAATATCATGAAACTTTTATCTAAAATAGAAATTTTTATAGCATTTTTACTTTTCAAATATTTTTTGTTAAGATAGTTTGAAACATATAATGACTTGACATTTTTGCGACTCTATTCTGTGTATATGTGTATATGGTGGATATAAAATTAATATACAGGGTGTCCCGAAGTCCCATGATGACCCTTGGTGAGAACGTAGAACGGATTGAGGTGAGCAAGAAAGTCCTGTGCCGTTTTGCGATATTCGCAATAGTTTTTGAGAAATTAATTATTTTGTCTCAACAAATCAGCGTACAGAAAGCGGCAGCGGAAAGAAAGATGCCTTCGGCCGACGTGCGACCGTGACACTCGCGAATCGTATCTCGCCGCATCCCTCCGCCCATAGCTACGAGACATAGACTCGCTATGTTTCGTAGCTATGGGCGGAGGGATGCGGCGAGATACGATTCGCGAGTGTCACGGTCGCACGTCGGCCGAAGGCATCTTTCTTTCCGCTGCCGCTTTCTGTACGCTGATTTGTTGAGACAAAATAATTAATTTCTCAAAAACTATTGCGAATATCGCAAAACGGCACAGGACTTTCTTGCTCACCTCAATCCGTTCTACGTTCTCACCAAGGGTCATCATGGGACTTCGGGACACCCTGTATATATATATATATAGAATTAATTTAAAATAAGCATTTTATAAAGAAATTATGCATATTATTTTACAGATGTAAAAAGGTATACGACGGAGTTACTCATGCAGGAAAGCTTTATCCAAATGCATATCTTATCATGATTTTAATAGGAACATTGAAAGGTTAGTTATAAGATATATATGAAATATATACCAGATAGGACAATAATTTTGTCTGTCTCCGTTATATCTGTTATTTCAAATGATATAGGAAAGTAGTGCCCATAAAAATTGTATGGTTTTGAAGAACACATAATATAGTAACAATGATTCTTTTGTGAGATATGCAAGAGATTTGGACATACATTTTTTAAATAGAATTATGGTTTGTCTAATACACGATTTCTCCGATAATTCTATATATAAAAGTACTGGGAAAAAGAACATCGAAAAGTGAATGTTTTACGAGATATTTATTTTATTTTGATACTTTCTTTACCATAAGATATGAAATATTTCGTTAAATATTAATTATTTGATTATTTGACTTTAATACTTTTGTACATAGAATAACAGGTGAAATTGATCGTTAAAAAATACATAGCGAAACCTTAAATAAAATTATTACATTTTGTAAATTCATTGATATAACATGCGAACATTAATATTACTGATTGAATTCTCTCGCCATTCTATGTTCAAAATTATGAAGGTTGCCGAAATATAAATAATTTATGAAATATTTTATATCTTGTTCTTGAAACTATCAAAATTGTAATGTCTATGTTTAATACAGCCGGCTTACACTCGCTGGCATATTCCAGGATTCGGGAAGTGTAGGTTCAGATGAATTGCAGTAGTCCTTTCTTTTTATCTAAATGCGTAACTTTAATAACAAGCTGAGTCAATTATAATTTTTGGATTTCGGCTGCCCAGTTTACAATATTCGCGGTGCTTGCCGTTCTTTTTGCCGCGTGTGGTCGGTTACGCGGTGTTTACGTGTGCCTGTGGTCTACGTCTTCTAGACGCGTTCGGGCGACGAGGTGAGAGACGTGATCGTTTGTCTCTATTGACGGCGTGTTTGATTCGTCTCGCGTCATTTGGATATTTAAATGCTTGACAGTCGCGCTGTACGACTAAGAAACCTTCGTGCTAGCGAATACATCAACTATGAGGCTCTAATTGAGGTTGCGAATACGCTACCCCCAGAAGCATGATATATGGATATATGCATCCGCATCCGATATTCAAGGTGTGAGGAACCGGCGCATCTGTGGGTTCCTCGGAGAAAGATCGCCGCGCATTCGCAGCTAGCTTGAGCTTTTAGTGTCGCGTATCCGCTACACTTAGTCGGGAAAGGATAGCTGTGTATCCGCGGATGATGTAAATACTGATACTGATGTAGTGTATCCGCCCTTATCAGTGGGAAAGATTCTGCGCATCTACAGATGAAGCCTTCTCGTATGAGTGTCTTGAGATCTTTTAAATTCTAATATTCGAGAAGATCTTGTTTTACTGTTGACGGTCTCGGTTTATATATTGTCGCGTTCGGTTTCTCGTATGACTCCGCTTATTGTTCGTACGCTTCCGATGGAGTCCGGCGCAAAAGTTCGGTCGCGTTCGATCGAATTTGGCGCTGCCGCGTTTCAGCTGTTTACGCTTATTGTCGATGTTGTTGGTCCGGTTGTGTTTTACGGCGCTGGTGGTGCCGCGATTGTATATGATATTTCGTGACGTTTAGTAAGGTATCGTTATATCACCTTCCCTGTTTGTGGACGTTCGCCTTGGACTCTTTACATTTTTTTTCTATCTATCTTCCTGATCAGTGTTACATTTCCGCTCACGTTGAATCGAAATTTCTATAGCCCGTCGTTTAAAAAAATTCGGTATCTACGGGATACATGGGCTGCGGTATATGGGACGTCAATGATTCGCCCTTTGGAGATGGTGACTCGGACAGATGGTTTTCCGTCGAGTCGTTCGGTACGATTAGGCGGAATCATTTTTCTTGATTTCGGTACGGAAAGCCCGTTATTTCCTGTTTTTTCGATTTTTCTCTTGTGATCCGGCTGTTTCCTCGTTGTTTCTGCGCTTGTTATCTCGCGTTGGGACGGTGTTTGTTGTCATATTACACGACGTAGTAACGGTTTCTCGATGCGCGTTTTTGCTCGTAATTCCTTTCGCCGGTTTTATTTCGACGTTGTTCGTTTGCGTCGTTCTGTGCCGTATCCCGCACTCTTCAAGAATTGCTGCCAATGTGGCTGATTTTAACTGTAATACATTGTCAGTTCAACTGTGATACGGAGATCAGTTTCTTTGGACATTCGTAGCGTAAAATTCTTAATATTTTCGTGAGTGCTGCTGCGATTGTTTTCTTCAGGGGTTTCATTTTCAGTCATTTTGAGAATTTGTCCTGGATGGCGAGTACTCATATGTGTCCTTGTTTCGACTGCGGGAGTGGTCCAATCAGGTCGCTTGCTACTTGTATCCACGGCTCTTCTACTGGTGTTGCGTGCAAAATCCCTGCTAGCTTTAATTGCGCTGCTTTGTGTGCTAGGCAGCTTTTGCATCCTATGACCTCGTTATTTCCCTAAACATTCCTGGCCAATAATATAATCTTGCTATTCTGGCTATCGTCTTTGCTGTTCCTAAATGTTCTGCCGTTGTGTCGTTATGATATTGTTGTAATATCTCTTATCGTTGTTCTCGAGATATGCATTGTTTCTACTGCTTTTCTACTGGAATATCATTACAGTCGAGCGTGTGCAATATATGTTTAAATAATGTTCCTTCTTGTATATGGAAGTCAAGTACCTCCTGCGGGCTTTTCTCGAATTGTTGGACGATGCGTTGATACCATGGACATTGTGTATCTGGGCGTAATGCTGCTATCTCGGGTCGATGTGATAGTGTGTCAGTAGTATATGTATTAGGACCTTAACTTAGTTTCCGCCCGCAAATGTTAGATGGCAATGCAAACAGTTCTAGTAGTTATTACTAACGAAACAGGTAGTTTGTGATTAATTTCGACATTTCTCGATAACATTCAGTCAGCATACACAATTATTTTCCTTAACAACAATTTCTTTTGCTTTGTGAAAAATGGAACGCGATAAAGTGTTTTTTCGACATGTGCTTTTGCACTATTTTGATTTGAAAAAAAGTGTAGCAGAAGTTCATCGATTACTTGAAGAAGGTTATGGTGATCGAGCTCCATCACATACAACATGTAAAGAGTG